ATCACGCGCAAACACGAGGAAAAAATCCTCCACTCTTTTAGTCTCAAGGTTAAAATGACGAGTGTAAAAAAATGTTAACTTATACTCACATACATTATAGTTCTCGCTTGTTTAGTAATCCATTGATTTCATTCACCGTGTTGACATTTTTCAGATGCAAATAAACAAGGGGGAGAAATAGACCTTTTAATTTAGAAGTTCTGAGGTGAATTTTCCTCTTCTAGATATCAGGTAGGTTCTCCTGGCCAGTGTGGGTTTCAAAATTTTTTTACTACTGGTTCTGTGGGCATGGCCTGGTGGACATGGCTTGGCTTGGTGGTCATGGCAGGGAAAGGATACTGTAAAATCCATTGCCACCCCACCCCACTAACCTGCTTTCCAGCTCCTTTCTCCTGTGCAGGGAAACAAAAGAAGACCCAGCCGATCAACTGGGACTCAGGAGGCAGAGAATAGATGGGGGTGGGGCGAGTCAGAGGTGCTATTTGCTGGTTGTCCAAACTACTCAAAATTTCTGCTACCAGTTCTCCAGAACTGGTCAGAACTGGCTGAATACCACCTCCGTTCCTGACCCTGCCCTGTCCTTCCCCAGTTCTTCTTGGCTGCATCCACAAGCACCCAAATGGTCCAAATTGGTTCTCAGGAGGCAATTGCCAGATCAGCTAAAACACCACATGAAATGAAGCGAAAGGGTCCAGGTTTCACACCCATGAACTCTTATTACTCACAGCAAATTCCATCTTGTGGAAACGCCTCAAGATGTTTCCACTATCACTGTGCCCAGAAGGGTTAATGACTCTCCCTTATATCTTCCTCTTTCACTATTTGCTCATGGAAGCATAGGCAAACTTATGATTCTGCCAATGAGGAATTATGTCAGTGATGCTATTACACAAAAATCTTGGGAACAGAGGAAGTCGGTGATGTTGAATGGGACAGAACTGCTCCAGTCTTCTGGGTAACATTGGGGCAAACCAAATTGGAAATGGAAGGACATAAAGACAAGAGAACCTTCCCGTTGGGTTCCAGAACACCAAGTCCTGTTTGAAAATGCCATGTGATGCAGAGAAGTTAATAAAAAAAGGAGAGAGTGTGACATTTCTTGAAATGAAAACTCAATGACAGAAGAACAACTTCAACGAAGACCTACTGTATGAGTTGCCCTTTTGCTGCAGGAGAAATTTTTATGTCTGGGACAATCTGGTTAGAATTTCTCCTGACTCTTTTTCATGCATACGAGTTTGAAGATCATCCCAAAGAACATTGTATGGTTGGAAGATTCAACTTCTTTTACTTACTGATTTATTTAGAGAGCTTATATGGGTATTGCTGATATAGCCAGGGGTGGGCTGCTGGGGGTTCGCAGGGGTTCGGGAGAGTCCCTAGCTAAGTTTCTGTGCAGTTTGGGGAACCTCCCAATCCCACTTCTGGCTGGGCCCACCCACCCCGCCCCGCACCATCCCTCCCAGGAATCCCCACGCCACCCGTTTTAGATGCAGGAAAGTTCAGGGCATCATCGGAGACTCTGGGAGGATGAAAAACGGGCCGCCTGGAAGCTCAGGAACGCTGGAAATGGGCCTGTTTTTGGCTTCCAAAGAGCCTCCAGAGCCTGGGGAGGCCATTTTCACCCTCCTGGAGCCTCAAGGAAAGCCTCCGGAGCTCCTGCTGGGGTGCAGGAGGCCGACTAGGCCACGCCCACCATGGCCACGCCCACCCAACCACCAGGCAGAGAACCCCATTTCTAAAATTGTCGAAGCCCACCCCTGGACATAAGGGTTGATATCTTGGAGTTTCATTAAATCCTCTTTTCTTCACTCCTTCTGGCCAATGAGGCCTGTAGATATTTGCATGCGCTTTGAGTACAGAGTTTAAGAGAGAATCAGGAAGTGAGAACCACTAAAATCTTTGGCTTTGGATTAGGACCAAGTTGGACTTTGCTCCCCTTCGTTTTCTCCATCATGATCTGGATTCTGATGCTCCTCCTCTTCTCTTACTCTCCAGGTGAAGTCAAACACCCACCTTGGCTGTTTTCTCACTTTGTACAAATCTCTTTGCTTCAGTTTCCCACCTTTGAAGAGTTTTCAATGTTGATTTTTCTCCTTTCAGGTGCAATGTGTCAATACACCCTGACTCAGGAACCTGCCCTCTCAGCACCTCTTGGAGAACCAGTGAAACTCTCCTGCAGTATTAGCAGTGGATACTATTTCGGTGACTTCCACTGGTACCAGCAAAAGCAAGGAGAAAGACCCAGGTTTCTCCTGTATTATAACACAACCACCCAAGAGACAAAATTTGGCCCTGGATCTTCTGGTCATTTTTCTGCCTCCACAAACACCGCCAAGAATCCTGCTTTCTTGACCATCAGCAATGTGCAGGGAAAGGATGAAGGGGACTATTATTGTGCTGCTGGGAAACACAGTGAGCAAACTCAATGAGAAACTTGATCATAAACCTCCCATAAGCTTAGACCTCCCAATGCTTCACCACTCACCCTTCACCACTCTGTTTTCTTAAAGACATCTCCTTAGCATTGTGTCAGTCACGCCAAGCAACGATTCTGAGCTCAGTCATTCCAATTCCAAAGCAAGAGATTTCCAATCATGGATCATCACCCAAATCATGGAACATTATGTGCTTTCCTCCTCTATTTTTCTACCCTGCGTGATTACGTAATCTTCTCTCAGCATCAAGGTGACTCAACTCAACCAAGCGTGAAGGGACAAGCAAGGAACTGGTGTTGCTCTAAGAGAAAGCGAAGAGACCTTGAAGAAATGTGAAACATTCAGGCACTTTGCTCTCAAACTTATTTGGAATTGAAGCAAGCGTCACCCAGTTATGGTTATGGGACTTTTCAGCAGGGGGTGCCACCTGCCTAGAAATTCACCAAGCCAACCTTGTGCCACCACACCTGAAACTCCTCTGTGCAACAAACTGAGCAATTTTACCAGCTGCAAAATACCTCATGCAGAATGGCAGATGTCAAGAAAAACAAAAGAATCGAATGTGGTGTAATAACAAAATCTTGGGAACTTTCCCCGTGGCCAATTTATGCTATACATCATTTAGATGCTGTTATTGATAATAATGTCTTTCTTAACAGAAAGCATCTCTCTTTGAACTTTATTGATTGCATGAGCTTCTCTGGGCAACAAGGTGACCCAACTCAACCAAGAATGAAGGACGTTAAACGACATGTTTTGCTTTGAAGAGGAGAGAAGGAACCCTGCAAAAATTTGGGCCTGGGACCATTTTTTCCCTGAAATATAATTTGTATGGGAGAAGGTGTGTCACCCATTTATGATCACAGGGTTTGATAGCCCTCCCGCTCCTAGAAATGCACCAAGCCAAACATCTGCCCCCATTCCTAAAACTCTTCTCTGTGCAACCGGCTGAGAAATTTCATCAGCTGCAAAATGCTTCAAGCAGGTGCCAAGAAAGGAAAGACAATCAGATTGTATAAACCACAGATGATATCTCTGCCCGGTTGCTGGGTGGCCGTGGCCTAGTCAGCCTCCTTCACCACAGGGAGGGGGCTTTTTCACCTTCCTCAGGCTCTGGAGGATTTCCTGGAGCCTCTGGGAGGGCAAAAAGAGCCTCTGAACCAGCCATAACATTAGTTATGGGTTCTCCTTAACCTGGACGGACCCATAGCATCCCAACCCTGTAGCCTGTAGCATCCCAACCCTGTAGCATCCCAACCACTAAGTAGACTGTTTCCAAGATTATGTATCTTCACGCTGGTTTTTCTGCTTTTCCAATGGTTGACCCATTGCCACTGTAAGCAGTTGGTGGTGGTTGTCCTCTTCTCCTCTTTCCTTCCACCTTTCCTAGCATTATTGACATCTCCAGACAGTTAGGTGATCTTAGCATAATGTTGATTTGGGGATGATTGACGTTCAGTGCAAAAAAAAAAAAAGTGTGAAAATAGGATTCTTAGGGTAAAACTTTATGTTATTTTTCAAGAGACCTTTCTGTATTATTGTGGTTGAGGTGAACTGCTTTAGCATAGGTGCTTCCAAAGAGCTAAGTGGGAATTGTGCAAGCATATAACATAGAATGATTGTGTGCACGTAAAACAATAGAATTATAGGGCTAGAAGAGACCTTGGAGGGCCTCTAGTTCAACCCCGGCTCAAGGCAGGAGTCCTTATACCTTACACCATTCCAGATAAAGTCTCTTCTTGAAAACCTCCAGTGATGGAACATCCACAACTCTGGAGGCATTGATTAATTGTTCTCATTGTCAAAAAAATTCTTCCTTAGTTCTAGGTTGAATTCCCTTCTGATGAACTTGTACTCATTGCTCCTTGCCCTTACCTCAAGTGCTTTGGAAAATAAGTCAGTCCCTTCTTCTCTATGAGAGCCCCACAGGTAATGAAAGACAATTACTCTATCCCCCTAATCGTTCTCTTCAATATACTAAACATACAGAGTCAGCCTATTGCCCCCCAAAATCTGGGTCCTCATTTTACCCACCTCAGAAGGATGGAAGAATGAGTCTACCTTGAGCCAGTCAGTATTGGACTTCTCGCATTCTAACCACTGTGCCACCATTGGAATGGAATGGAATGGAATGGAATGGAATGGAATGGAATGGAATG